CCATTACTTCACAGTTTCACGCTGGATGGACGAAAAATTCATCATGATCATGTGTGCACGCTTGTCTAATAGAGCGCAATTCAAGTTTGCAATAAATAACTTGATGTTGTTCATTTGGGTCGTCCGACACAATTCCCGCCCGAGTGGCGCCACGACGCCACACGTGAGGCGTATAGAGGTAGGTTACACGATTCGTGGATTGCATGCTCCAATGGCTTTGGTTTGGGAAATCGTTCTATAAATATATCATGTGATTCAAGTGCCCAACGTTGCCCACTATTGTTGGCGACATACGATCATTTCCTTGGATGACCCTGTAGACCTATTTTGCCAAATCTTGACACGTGTTTACTCTCTTGTAAGCGACCCGCAAGACAGGAGTGCGGAGTGATTAAATTTTGTGAAAGCTTGTTTGATATATTTCCGTGCCAGATATTTTACACAAAAACTGCCTGTATTTGGTGACTGCACGAAACGCGCGACACAAAGTATATTGACCTAAACATGCTGACCGCCATATAACATTTGAATAAATAACTCAATTTAGCGTGAAATTTCGCCCCTACAATCAGTCGCATCAATTCAATATATGACTCATAAATATCGTAGCGTTTAAAATTTCTCGTTCACATTGCATGTGCTTGCGCTCTGTTTAAACAAACGCGAAGTGTTGGAACACTTCCTCGTAATCAGGCTGATGCCACGCATGTGCCATAAAATTTCGTTACACCGCTGGGCAACTGCTGTTGTAACTTTGCTGTCTGAGGACAAGAGGTCATAATGCGAACAAAATATCTCACACTTCAACAATTTTTATAGATAAATGCGGCGTTGATGTGATAAAGAAAAATAAAGATGTGTAACACGTTTATTCGTAACGTAACAGTTTGGAATGAAATCTGTGAAAAAATGTTATAATATCTGATGGGACATCTCAGATATCACATCACCGTGCAAAGCGAGAGGTTCCTATCACATAATGCATCTTACGTTCTCTGAACGTCATGATTACGGTGCTCCTAGATCCTTCCAAACTATCAATAACATAATTTTGGTATACAGATGAAGGCAAAGTGCAATTATACATGAAATATATTGGAATTCACAATACTGGCATGTAGCGAAGTTGAAGTGCTTTACTATTTTCCAGGAAGAGAGGTGCCCCCCACACTTAACGATGTACGAAAAACAACGAAATAGATTATTCAATTTCTTTGAAAGTTTGCAACATATTCGCGTTTTTCTTCGCAGCTGGTAAAATAAAATATACTGGTAGATGATATTTATGCGTTTTCACTTGGGTATATTTTACTCACATTTTAATAGTCAGTATGCGTATTATCGTAATAAACGGGATTATTCGTGTGAGGAGAAAAAATCAATCTAACATAGCGGAAGACATCTGGAAATATACGCTTACTTGGAGGGGTATGCAAGAGACGGCAAAACCCTGCATATTGTGCATTGCCAGAAGGCAAACAGTGTAGTGCTTTACCCGTTAATTTGACTACTATTTTTTCAAGGTCAAATGGAGAACCTGTTATATATATTGAATACAAAATCCAGCTGCGACGATCGGGAGCATGCGAAACCCAATTCCTTCAGCCAATACCTCAGCCAGCTAACTTTGGTACGAAATCAAAAATGCTTCTCGGGAATAGAATGTACTCTACACTAGACACTGTCGAAAACCAAACGTCCCTTGAACTTGTTTCATTACAAAAAGGCTTCCGTATTCTCGTTCTATAATACGCTGTTAGGCTGCTGGTGAAAATGAGGACATTTAGAAAATATGCATGAATCTTGTCATGCAAGCTGAATGGTCCACAGGGTCATTTCAACTTCATGTGATACTTGGAATATTCAGACAAGAAATATGACTCTAACACCTGGATCCTGTTGCTCTGAGTAGATGTCAGTACCGCAACCGGATGGTTTTCACGGATGAGGAAAAACTCTGAAGTCTAATGTAGGTTAAATATGTTTGGTAGCCCAATTTCTAATAATTACCTTGAAATCTACTTATCCTCAAACAATAATTAGTATCCAAAGTTGAGCAGAGATTTCTACTGGCAGGAATATCAGTATATTTAGATCGAGTCCATTATATCACGCTTTATATTGCAAAGAGGAGCTAGCTTCAAAACTGTTTCTTAACCTCACCCCTTCGCCTAATGTGGTCGCACTTTCGTTGTTTTCATCTCCGTCTTGGTTAATTAAATATTAACCTGAACGAATAAGCGTAACCGTACATTTTCATTTGTTGGAGTGCTTTGCAACTCAAGCTCACCTAGGCATTCAGCATCGTCACCGCAGCGAACTGTAATTCAAATTGAAAGAAAATGCCGTTTTCTTTAAAAAAATTTATCCATAGAAGAATGACTAATGCAGACGCCCCGCAAGTTTAGCAGAGCTTCTTTTGTATTGAGGTTAGATACCATATAGTCTTCATTTTGTACCGTCCGCAGTCAGCGTATGCTTTTTTTACATGCATCAACAAACGAAGCTCACCAATACAGCGGTCTAGAGCATCTCTCCAGCATTTACCTGTGGTTTACGACCAAAAGTTAGAGCCAGTTTTCAGAAATATTGTTCATTAAATAAATCTGAATGATCCTAATTTCTGATAGTGAAACGCTCACATTACTAAACAGCTTTGAATGATTTCTAGAAGACATCTAATAGTGTCATAGCGCTTGTCGTTAGCACTTACACGGATACTCCTTTCGCTATTTATATTGGCATGCTACTTGGCTTTTTACATAATATGTGTGATATTACCAAAAACATTCTCTGACTCGTCAAAGAGGCAAACCTAAAGCATCAACACGGGGGGCTATTTTGAAAAAGGATTGAAGAAGATAATTTATTTGATACAATCAGCGTCTTTGGAAATTCCTGGATGAGGGGAATTGCCTCACGGTAGTTTCGTCTGCATTCCAGTCTCATTCTCGATTTTTGCACGGCACAGTTCCTGAAATATGCTCAAAATTCCGAGTCACTGACCCCGGTAATCGGTAAATATAGGACGTTCTTTGACATGCTGCGCGGGTGACGATGGACGCTCTTTCAGGGAACACTCAAGCAAAATTAAGGAAGTGATTTAGTTGGTCTGTGGAAGTAGAAGTAAACTTTCCACGTTCTTGTGTGCAAGCTAGAGCAGAAGCGCAACCGTCGTGTGAGTTGAGATAACTTCTCATAGTAAATTGAAAACACCAGATGAGAAATGACACTGTGGTCTTACGTTTCTGGCCTTCGTTATCCTTGTGTTTTCCTTAAATTGAATGGAATATACAAGTTAGTTCGTGTTTCATACAGCACTTATATGAATGGCCTTTTGGGAACAATTCCATTTTTGTACCATCCGCTTATATCACAATTAGGCCTCGCAGGGGAGAACGCAATGCTGCATGGACTCCTGGTGCATTCAAGCAAAGCCCGATATGAGGCCGAACAGTCTGCTTCATATTTATTTTGTTCAACTGGATTACGGTGTGAGGAAACATGTCTAGTCCAAAAATATTCTAGTTAGCTAAGTTATGACAACTGAAATATTAAGCTATCAGTTTCAAGAGTAAACGTGACCATAAAATTACGACTCAGGTGGTTCGCGAAGATAAATTATGAACCATAAGGATATCTCTTTGCAGGTCAATCAGGGTAACGCAAAAATGTTTGGCAGCTCTAACTTTTCCTTAAATAAATGTATCTCTGACATTCGCCTACCGATGCAGCGATACTTCTCTTCCCTGTTGCATCGATCTGTAGATGGAAATGTTTCATGTGTCAGTTTGAAATTTATTGCAGCTTAATGAAACTAGCTTGTATTTAGATTTCGCTCACTCTTCTGTGAAACACCTTAAAACCGTGGTTTCCTAGCACCTTCCTGTAGGCACGGATCAGTTGATCAATAATCACTAATCATCATGCTGATATCTCCAAGTTTGCACCATGAAAAACAAATCCCCAACAGAATGGCAATAAATCTGACGGGAAGGTCGCGGCGTGTGGCAAGTAGCGATCAAAAATATAATGCATAAATCGACGGCAAGCTTACCTCGGCAGAATTCGACTTCACGAAATTCCACGACTACAACGCGGGAATAAAATTCGATTTGATTGATTTTTTTTGAGCTCCTGGTTATATATACCTGCGCATTTTAAAACAAATTTATCAAATAAATTTTGGCGAGAAGGTTTACCTAAATAATGTTTCACAGTTCCGTGGCAAATTAGCTAAATAGATAGTTTTGTATTCGGCAAAAAACCCGAGAGTTATACACAAAATTTAATAAGAACATACTGTTATCTTCGTGAGGATCTTGCCCACAGGCTTCTATTAAGGACAACCCCAAAGAAAGTAAATCACGGCTGTCAAATATGAACAAATCTGCTTAAAAATTTCATCTTTTGCAAAATCGATGATACTGCCACTCAGCGTTAGCTAGCAGTCTAATGGAACGCGCCATGTACGTTAGAATGCAAGAACGTAACGCCGCAAATGACGTGTGCAATAACATTGCATTTGTTTGCGTCCTAGCATATGAGGAGGGTAATCACTGTGTTACAGAATGCACGTCATTGTATTGATCAGTTACCACCAATTAGAGTGCTTTTTTAGGAGTTAATAAAGCGTACATATCAACAACATTTTTGCTTATAGGATTTCGTAACAATGTTTGGAATAAAATCGACATATGCTTCACATTTTAAAGGAAAAACGTCGCTAGTGGTAACACGTGAGAGCAGATATATTACACACCCATACACAAGTAGTATTCTGGAATGCTCCTCGCCAGAATTTCTTTCACTAGAATATAAAATACAAGCGCAGGACTAAATTGTAACATTTTTGCAAAACAGTGACCTGTGCCTCATAAAATGCTTACGTAGGCCAATGGCGACGAATATGAAATATATTGCCATGTGTTTTGGTACTGATAGGCCGGAAAATTAACATACTCTGCACATTTATACTGATCTCCATCACCTTGAAATAGAAATGCAAACAGATCAACAGCCACGTGATCAAAAACCAATAAACTCACCCGAGCTACCAATATTTCAACAAATTACCAACTACTTCGGGCGTTCCACGCTCAAAACAGCCCGTCTATGGGAGACTTTCGCCTGCCGACAAGCCTACACGCGACAACAGCTCTACTTCCTCCATGAATGCCTGCGCAAACACATCTTCCCACGTAGTGTAACCTACCGACCGCCAATAAACCATCCACAAGATTGGGTAATAGCTAGACAGAATGGTAGACGAATGGTCAGACTTATGATTACAGACGCTCACAACCGCATTAGAAAATACGAGAGAATAGCCAACGGACATAGGGAAGCCTGCTTGAGGAAAATAGGACCAGATCTCATGGAGCAACTTAGCATGGCGGTAGAACGAAGAGTTTCATCCACTGCTAAAAACAAGAAGGCTCATCTAGATAGCTAATTCTCAAGGCTGTTTAGAAATCAGGAGTGGGAAAGTAGTCTTACTGAAGCCTGGATAAGGAATCTGTCCAAAAGCCTAGAAGCAGCAATCTCTTGGACTCGACGAAAACGCTCAGCAGCAACTTCGTCAAACTGTCGTCCCAGCCATCGCACGCAACAAACCACTCCACTCACTTTCCGGCAAAGAAAAAGAAGCAATGAGCAAGTTGAAGAGGGATTAAGACATCGTGATTCTACTGGCAGACAAGGGACGCCTAACGGTGATCATGGACAAACCGGACTACATCAATAAAGCAAAGGCACTACTCAACGACACAACTACGTACCGCCGCTTAGAACGCGACCAAAGCAAGCAGCTAGCAAGCAAAATCAATAAGAACTTGAAGCAACTCCAAGATCTCCACAAGATTACAAAAGAGGAATATTGGAGAATGAGAGCTCGTGATTCGGCCATTCCTCGCTTCTACGGACTCCCAAAGGTACACAAAGAATCAATACCTCTCCGGCCAATTGTATCACTTCCTGGAACAGCGACCTACAATCTTCCTAAAGAACTATGGAAAAGTTTAAAGCATCTCATCGGTGGGTCGCAATACTCAATCAACAATGCGGGACAATTTTTGGAGAAACTAAAACACGTAAGCATCGATCAGGACGAAATAATGGTTTCATTTGATGTCAGCTCACTATTCACGTCTGTAGATCTCGATTCAGCCAAGACAACTGTGGCCGAATTATTGGACAACAACGACACGCCAACTGGATCGCTGGAGAAGGAAGACCTCTGCAGATTACTCGACTTATGCCTGATCACACATTTTGAGTTCAACGGAGAATATTATGAACAACTACGAGGGACACCAATGGGATCGCCGATTTCAGGATTCATTGCAGAAGTCACAATGCAGAAATTGGAACAAATCGTGTTGCCCGATATAAATCCCAAAATATGGGTTCGTTACGTGGACGATACATTCGTGATCATCAAAAGAAGCGAACTGCAACGAGTAATCCAACTGCTAAACAACGTCTTTGACGACATCAACTTCACAACTGAAGAAGAAAACAACGGAAAACTGGCGTTCCTGGACGTCCTTGTCACCAGATTGCCGAACGGACAGCTACAAACTGAAGTCTACAGAAAGGCGACACATACGGACCAAATCCTCAGCTACCACAGCAACCATCCAAATTGCCACAAACAAAGCTGCGTTCGGACACTTTTCAAGCGGATCGAGACACACTGCAGCACAACAGAATCCAAGATCAAAGAAGAAAAGCGCCTATACAGATTGTTTCAGAAAAATGGATACCCGAGGAATTTCATCTGGAGAACACTCAGGAAGCCAAATACGATCGATGCAACAGGACAAAATGCAAGTAAGCGAGTCACACTCCCGTACATCAAGAACACCGCTGAAATGACGGCAAGGCTCTTACGACAGCACAATATATTGGTCGCTTACAAGCCTGCGAGCACTCTAAGGAGGACACTATCAAGACCAAAAGGGAAATTAGATCCAATGGCGAAGAACAATGTCATATACAGGATCCAATGCAAGGACTGCGACAAACGGTATGTAGGACAAACAGGAAGGAAGCTCTCAGCCAGAATACATGAACACAAGCTCGCCACCAAGAGGCACGATCAGTTCTCCCTCATCTCTGCACACAAAGATCAGGAAGGACACGAGTTCGACTGGAGCGGCGTCTGCATATTGGCTCAAGCAAGAACAAAAAACGAACGCGAATTTATGGAAGCATGGTACTCCACCGAAGAGGCGATCAACAAACACATCGAAATTGATCCCATTTACCAGCCACTAAGAGCGAGAGAACTCCAGAACCACCGAGCTTAAAGCTGCAAAATCAACCAGACGAGGAAATCATAAGAGAAGGAGGAAAACATCATTCAAACGGACACCACTTGGTTTGGAGGACACGCCCAATCAAAGCACCAAATCAATCGACGGACGCCACTGTTGAGGAAATAGGGCGGCACAAGCAACCAATCAAACTCAAGAACGTCAGACCACAACGCAATACAACCCGAGGCAGGAGAGAACGAACTAATAAAAATAGAAGGCGTGAGGATAACCAATCGACACAAAGGAACGCAGACCACAACGCAAAAAACATCACAAATGGACCAATAGATTCACCAAATTTGTTACACTTTAAGTAGCCAATCACGTCAGAAGATAACAGATGGCCCTCGAGTGCTATATAAGCGCACGCAGGCAAGGAAGAAGTACCCACTCAACTGCGCACTGATGATGTCTCCTCGTATGGTGACGAAACGTTTGCGAGCCAACTGCTAAGCTCGGCGAACAGATCAACGGCCACCTGATCAACAACCAAGAAATACACTTTGCAACACCGGATGCGTGGTAGATTTCTGGTTGACCAATGATAATCTTATATTCCTTTTTGTTGATCATCACCGTGCTTCGTTACAATTTGAGTGTCAACCTAATTTGAAGCTTTTGTGTTGTCGTTGTTAAATGCAATATTTTTTTCGTTATTTTTTTCTGAATACGCGAATCGCATTTCTTTGTCGCCGTTAAACTATATTCATCAACCTGCCGCATACCAATCTGTGAAGCACATATTCCGCTCTGCAGTCATATTGCAGAAATCTAAACCCTTGAGCGACTTTGCGCGGTATATAGGTGACAATCGCATAAAATTTTATCGAAGACTTCATCACTACTTGCAGCTGGACACGGTCAGCATATGTAGAGACAAAGATATGAAACCACTCACACTTGGCTTAAAATGATCGTTTAATCGGAGAGTCCTTCAAGAGAGTGTTGACGGGCAATCCTCCAGGGATTCCGGGAGCCGGCAGCCAACTTGGACACCCATGCACGGCAAGCGTGCCTCCTTTACTACGAGAGCCACTGTCAGCAATCTCATCGACAAATAAGACCATTGTTGAAGTGGTAATACCCATTTGTGTCTTTTAAAAAAAGCAGTTGCTTGTATCATAGTACAGATTATTACGATGGTAGGCTCAGTAAGTTTTGCTTGAAACATTATGGTGCTGATGGGATTTCAAACATCATTTGTGATTCTAAACAATAGAGTCCTAGAATGAATAGCATCCATTTGGGCACATCCAGAATGTCTTCAAGGTTGTCATGTGCATGCAGTTGTGTTTTTGTGGAGTGTGCCTCCACGTAAGTCAGTTTGCAGGGATTTTTGCGCAAAACGTATGACCCCAAAAATAAATAAACGTCCATTAAAAAAATGTTCATACGCGCTTATTTGGAAACATCCCCATTGATGGGGTACCCACTTTGGTAGAAACAACACCTCGCCTAGTACATAAACGTACGGGTATTCAAATTTATCCAATACCTTCTACGCTTTAATTTCACATTTTCTGAAACATATAACACTGAAAAGTGTTACTACGCGTTCTAATTCGGTAAAGTTTCTTGTGATTTGGGTTTATCGCTCTGAATTTTCTGACTAAGAATCTAAATCGACGGGTCTCAAGAGCACAACCCGAAATATTTCGTTGCGTTGTTATTAAGTGGGCTTTTGCTGTACGGATAAAAATTATACTCCAATTGATATGATCAAATATGTTGAAAAAATCATGTACATTACGTCGCTGATGCAGATTCATTGTGGTTGCATCGAAAATGGCTGCCAAAACAATTTTTTTGTTTGTGCCGTAAAATTTATTTGAACGTATCTCACAATCTATTTGGTTTGGCAAGATTTAAAACAGTGGCTCTAATTAGAATGCTCGATCGTCATTGTACTTTTGTTAATTTTGAACAGAGAGCTCACGGGTTTTTTCTTTTAAGGAAAAAAAAACCCCAACTGGTGCTGATATGTTTTTTTTCAATCTCAAGGCGGACAATTCCAGCTTGTAATAACAATTTCCGAATTCAATAATCACTGCTGTGGACGAAAGAATCCATGCCACTCGTCCGGATCACTTCGATGAAAAACTCAGGGTCCATCAAAAGGAGTATATCCTTGAACAAAAGCAATATTATGTGAGTAATAATTTTTTTATTTTAGTTGAGTTACGCGATGAAGTTTCGCGTGTATCAATCTACGCAGTACGCAACGCGGGAACAAAGTTATTTGACAAATGCACTAATCAGGTGACGGCATACGCTGAAATGTCATTTATTTTTATTTGTTCGCTAGCATTCTGGTTTCAAAACTGTCTGGAAATGTTTCTAGTTTGTGATGTTTTTAGTATGGCATAATCAAATCAATTCAATGTGTGTTCAACAGCTGGAAGCTAACGTGGGCTCAAGTTTTGTGTTCTGGAAATGTTTCTAGTTTGTGATGTTTTTAGTATGGCATAATCAAATCAATTCAATGTGTGTTCAACAGCTGGAAGCTAACGTGGGCTCAAGTTTTGTGTGGCTGGAGTTTAGTCGCTCACCAGAAGTCTGTAATGCAAGTCATGTAAAATAATATTAAAGAAGCATGTGAGTAGTACGTTTCCTCGTAAATACACTTCGCGTATCCTGAAAAGGGAGATCTAGGCCATTTGTGAAGTCGCTCCTTAGCATATGCTTGAGGAAGACGCGTTCGAGGAGAAGCTGAATATCCAGATTTTGTAAGGAACGTGCATATGAGAATTTTGTTTCCCCAACAATATTCTGCAACAGTTCAGTTGGTGTTTTCTAAATACTAATGATATCCCTAACACCCGTGCTTTTTACTAAATGGGTATTGGGCGGAATTGATTTTTTCTTAGTTAAATTTGAAAATTGACCGACAAGCACACTATTGGAGATATTGTGCACTGGAACATTGTGTTCAACCACAGGAGCACATTCAACCGAGTAAACCAGTTTATGAACATTATATTGCATTTCCCCTGAGAAGCCCGTCCTAGATTGCAAGTTAAAAAGTGAAAAAAAATTTGAAATCACAGATACAGATTGAATTTTTCGGCCTAACCAGTTTTCAAATTTGTATGGGGCACCAATTAGAATAGTAGGGTAAAATAAAACGACTTGG